CATGCTCTACCGACTGAGCTAGCCGGGCCTGGAAACCAGTGGTTCAAAACCAATTTATGAATCAATTAGGGAAATATTTTTTTTAACTGGTAAACTGATGTGTTATGGTTTGTTTCTGTATTGCAAGTATATGGGTTATTTATTTTTTTTAATAGTATTTGAAAATGATAGTTTCATTAATTGAACAGTTTGATTGAAGTACATAATGTAATAATTACATTAAATTAAATTATTTTAATTTTCTTTATTTTAATTATTTAGTAATTGTTTCTATTATTTTAAAAAAATTGTTTTGATATGTATTTATTTTATTTATGTTTTCGTTATTTTTTATTAATTTCATTTATTCAATTAATTTTACTCAATCTCCACTGGGTTTAGCCCCAGAGATGCGGTTGACAGAGAAGTGCAGGGATCTCCTGGAGTCATGCTTTTTTCTCCACACTAGGAGGGACAAGGGTTCGGAGTGTTCTTTTTTATTTATTTATTTTTAGGTTATTTTATTCTTATTTATTGTATATATTATTTTTCTGTATTATTTATTTTATTTACTGTACATAGACTGTGAATGTGTTAACTGAACACTATATAAATGTCCTTTGAGACAGATTGTAATATTTTCAATAAAAAAACTAAAATAAAAAAAAAAAAAAAATAGAAATTACTATTCTTTCGTCTACACATTGGTGGATCTACGTGGAGAGCTTTGATGGCTGAAATCCCCTTCAAGATGGAAAAATAGAGATATATTATTTTTTTTTCATTCTCATATTTGGTATAATAATGAAATGATATATATCGTATTAATTGAATAAAACAAGAATAAAAAAATATTTCTCTTAATCAAAAGAGATTTCTATAAGAAGAGGTGCTTTTTTGCTACACTTTATCGGATCGCACTTCCGTTCATAAAATACAACCCACCTCTTTCTTTTAATCACAGTTAAATCATCAAGTGGAGGAAATTCTGAAAATTTCTCCAACACGTGAACGTAACATTCCTTATTTGAAGTTAACTCGAGAATGCTGTTACATAATTCGAATCATAAGGAAATAGTACGGAGTGACATTCTTCAATTGCAATATGTGGCCATTCACTTCATGCATTCCAATAATAACTGGAAAATATAATACGTTACTAATCTTTCACGAAGAATTCCCAAATATGTTTCAAGTGAAAGTGTTAGGCCTACTGTGAACAATGATTAATGTCGTTCTATTAAATTTCAGCAAAGAATGAAAACAAAATTGTAAATAGAAAGCTTAGCGAAGTTAACCTGACACAATCCACGTTTCGGTCAACTTCGAGACTCACTCAACTTTCATATAATCTTTTAACTATGGAACTGAAAGTTCCCTTCAGTTTTCGTATATGAACTAAATTCCCGAGAAAATTCAAGAAAAAAATTTATAAAGAAAAAAAAAATTTGGGGGCCTAACTCACTAAGTATATATTCTATGGTAACATTTATAAAAAAAAACTTTTGAAAGGTAATTAAATTACCAACAAAACAAAAAAATCTATTTTAATCTATTTTTCGTTTTTTTTTTTAAATTCGCTACGAAACTATATAAAAATCGTTCATTTTGGACAACTATTAACGAAGTTACAGCTATTCAATTTCCAATATAAGATTACGGGTTCATATGCTGGTGTCAGAAAGGGGTGAATGAGAGAAAAAAGATAACTAAGTGGAAGTAAGAAAATCTGTTGCCTGCATCACACAAGCTTCACTATTTCCTCTACTTTTCACAAAAATTATTTGTTGTTTATTGGTTTATTGGTTGTCCAGGGTAGTTTATCGGGCTTGGTGTCGTTATTAGTTGATATTTTATAAGACTATTATTATAATGAGGAAGGAAAGATATATATGCTGTAAACCAACCCTATGTAGTAGGGCAGCAATAAAGTACACTACTTTCTAATACTTAATAAAGTATTTCTCTCTGACAAAATTTGGCTACGGATCAGCAATATTAGATGATATTGAAATTTTTACACTTATCTAACTTAAGCCGGTTTACATTGCTTTAGTTTACCCAATAAATCGTACTCAAATCAAAACAAGGAGAATCGAAATTAAAAGAAATTAAACCCCACTGTTTAAAATGGGAAACCTCGCACCGACCATCTCGAAAAGAGGAGACAGCCCTTTGCAGACTGCGAATTGGACATTGTGAGTTCTCGCACTCCTACCTACTAAGAGGACTTGATCCTCCGACCTGCGAGAACTGCAATGTCCAAAGGACAGTAAAACACATTGTTCAAGAATGCCCTACATTTGATCCTATAAGGAGAAAGTTAGACATGGCACAGAGTCTGAAAGAAAATCTACAAGACCATGAAAATGCCGTTAAAAAAACTTTAAAGTTCTTAAAAATGATAAAATTCTACAACAGAGTTTAATTCAAAGATGTTGCCAATGACCCTACAGGGTAGAGGCAACAAAAAAAAAAAAAAAATCAAATCAAATCAATCAAATCTTTTCTTTGATCAATTTTCATGAAAATAAATCTAATTAATTTTTTTTTCTGTTTCTTGATGGACATATGTAAAGATATAAAAACTTTTCTGAAGTTGTGTGAGTGGACACACCAGATTTTTTGTTTTGTTATTGTTATGGCTTTGTTTTGTTCTCCTTTATATCATATTTGCTGAATCTGGTAGTAGATAGCAAATTTATTGTATATCAGAAATATGTGTAATTTTTTTTTTTTTTTTTTTTTATTTCTTTATGACATTTACAACTGTATAACATAAATACATCAAGTAAATTGTGTGTAATTTAAAAATAAAAAAAGCATAAGTAACATAATTTTTAGAATTGAATGTTCCAGTGTGAGATTCGTCCATCCACTCAAATTTCGCATTTCGCAATCCACTTATGCCGTTGATTCGATTATACACGTCTACCTGACCATTTAAAGTGATCAAAAATGTCTCCAAAATTTTACAGTTGCATCGTTGTTCCAGTTGATGAGTGATATGATTAAAATAATTTTAATAACTATAAATAATCATCATGGTCGGTGATTACAACTATACTTGACATAGCTGAGGGAGGACGGTAGGACGTGAAGGACCCCAACTAATGGTTCGATTAGGCTGAGGAAGGCCATTAACTAACGCCCCCACAACTAATCTGTCAATTAATTAGCGGCTAATAGTCTAGTCTGCCTACTATATCCACCATCCACAATCCACTATCTGTCCTATTAAATTATCATTATATCCACTTTTTAATTTCGACTATCAACATATATTGTAAACATGGGCATTAGGGAACCAGAGAACAATATGGGTAGATTAAATGACTATACGAATTAAATGCCTTGAGGTGGTATAGATTTCAGTTTCAATTCTTGACACACAAAGTATATTACTAACATCTTAATAATATAAACTATACTATAGGGTGTCTCGGTTCTTAATGGCTAACCTCTGTAGGATGATTCTAGACAAAATTTTCAACAAAAAAGTTCATTTGATGCATGGGCCGATTTTGGACGGCAAAAGGAGTTAAGACCAATTTTGTGTCTTCCTTAAGATGGCCATGGTTTTTATTGAATAAGAAGGAATTGCTAAAAAAAAACTATTCAAGATAATTAAATTCTAAGTATACCAGCGTAAAGTAGACAAAATTTTCTTTGAGGGAACAGCGATTAAAGTTACTAAGGACAATGATAAAAAAGGACTTCCAGGATCTGAAAAGGACCTTTGTACTGCTGCTGTAACAGGGCTCATATAAGAGATTGTTATAAGATTGTTGCATACCCTGTATATACTACTTTAGTAAAGATTCCTTCATTTCCATCTCTCATTTTGATGGCTGGCGTATCAAACGAATAAGAATTTTACGTATAAGTGACGAATCCCAATCGAATTTCTAGCAATAGTAAATAAAAAACAAACTGGAATTGCATATTACTAACCCTTTCAATAGTAGAAATTATAAATAAACTTTCCATTTATTAAGATCATTCAGTCATATCATTTTCTCCAAGTACACTTAGCGAAGTAATTGTTTGAAACCAGGACCAGGTTTCCCTTAAGTTTATTAGGATAAAAATATTAATATAATATACAGCAGTACTTTTGAATTTTTTAACAAGTGTTAGGAAACAAGAATATAAAGGGTTGTCTGGAATAGATACTATTGTAAGAATGAATTAGCAAACCTGAGTATAACAAACGATTTTTTATTTATTTTATTTTTTTGATTGTATCGAATCGCGGAAACGGGTTGAGCAAACGAGGATTGTTGCAGTGGCAAGGAGTGAGGGAAAGAAGTGGTCGGAGGAGAGGAAGAAGCACTTCGAGGGGATGAGAGAAGTATGGAGGAAGAGAAATGTGATAATTAAGTGATATTTGCGTGGTCCAGAGTTGGCCTACATCGCAACAAAAATAAAAGTTTATAAAGGAAGGAGTCGCGGTCATAAATAGGCTGAATAGTGGCCAAACTATTTTATTAAAAGCCAACGTTTCGACCCGACTTTGCAGGTCTTCTTCAGCGAGTTGTGTTCAGCCAGGAGTTTCACTTAGAACTCAGTTGCTGAACACACCTCCCTGAAGAAGACCTGCAAAGTCGGGTCGAAACGTTGGCTTTTAATAGTTTTGTCACTATTCAGCCTATTTAGGCCGCCACCCCTGATCATCTCCTTCCTTTACAATGCAACGGTCAACTATTAAATATTCAATAAAAATTAATAATTACAGGCGATGACTAGACCTGAACAACTACAACACATGAAGGGTGTTACGTTCAGTACTTTGTAAGAAAGTTCTGCATTGCTTCATTGTCAACAGTGGCGCAACAATGTGATTTTTAAGATGAATAATTACATAAAATTAATACATGTGGAAGAAGTAGGTGTTAGTGTTGGAAATTATGGCACAACGGTCCTTTAAATGGTCAACAAATGAGTTGAGCGCAGCATTATCCTGTTAATATTACTATATAATACAACATAATGTCAATAATATAATTAATGGTATGTTCTTACCTTGTAACACAATCCTGCTTTTGCTCTATGAGTGCCTGTGTCTTCACCTTCTCCTGCGGTGCATGGTCCTGACCAATGAGCACTTCCCTCCTCCCAAAGGGAGAACTGACTCTCCTTTCGCCTTCTGGAGGCTGCGCCGCAGCCTGTGGTGGTTCTTGTTGCTGCGGCTGTGGCTGTGCTGCTTGATGCTGTGGTGTTTCTTTCGGTTGTTCTGGAGCAGGAGCTACCGGTTTCGAAACTTCCTGATGACAAACAACATCAATGTTTTAAGATCAGAATGTTACTCAAGAATATTATTATAAAAATATATTAATTTATTAAAAAACGAAGATTTTGACAAATACTTACTTTATAAAAGTACTTTAAATTAATTATAGTTTCTAATGGTTTCTAATATATCCGTTGTATAATACCTAGAATATCATTATGGGATTTCGGAAATGTCTGAAATATATGATATAGCATTTCCCACTACGTTCACCTATCAAATGAGCTGTAATTCCTTTTGTTCTAGAGAGAACAATTCTGGGTAAATTTCGGTATGTTCGAGCCTTTTTATTTTAAGTTTTACGAGCCTCTACAGTACCTCTCCAAATCAATACCTCATACTTAAATAATTGCAAAATTGTATGAGAATTGATTTGGGGATGGAGAAGTTCAGAATTTTTTTACCTCGAGATTTCAAATCGCGAGCTAAGCGATGGAGCAATGCTGCTAGCGTTTTTATTTTTATTTTTAGTAAATTGTCTGTAGTAATTAATAAGTATGCTGTGTTTGAACCAACCCAATGTAATTGGGCAGCACGCTTTTATGACAATAAAGTGGTTCTCTCTCTTCTATAAATTATTAGCATGTCTTTTTTTTTTTTTTTTTCTTTTTGTCAAATATTCCAAAAAATTTAATAATACCTTTAAAAATTAATTAATATTTTATTTTACTTTTTTAGATATGACACAGTTTTTTGAGAAATAAAAATTAATAAATCGTTTTTATTATTTACCTATACATGCTGCTTCACTCATTTAAATCCATACAATTTCATAATAATTAAGATTGCCTAAAGCCAAGGATCCAATAAAATTTTCTTTTAAAAATTGAGATAATCAAATATATATATATATATATATATATATATATATATATATATATATATATATATATATATATATATATATTAAAATAAGTGCACACAACAACTCCAGATATATACATATAGTTAGTTAATGTCGATTTCCAAGTATAAAATAAATTAGACACTTCCAAAAATAATTATTTAGGTTTCAGAGCTCTGGGTCTAAATATCGTTAGGTAAATAAAAATATTTTTTATAAAGTTCTAAATTTAATTTTAAGGTGAAAGAGGCCAATAATAAACAATCTCAGGAAATAAAATTACACATTTTACTATTAGAATTTTTGATGTCTGGAGTATCTTGGTACTTGGCAATAGAATTTTCGGAGTAAAAAAATTCAACTTCAAACTCAATATTTAAATTTCATTACATGGACCCCATTCGTTTCTGATCTTTTCATATCTAAATATTCCAACGATGCTTCATTTTTTACGGCAGGAAAACCATTCTTGTTTACATTTTTGTCACCACGTTACAGTTGCCGAAATGTTATTTTTACGTCCCACATTTACTGTAAAATAGATATATTAATAAAATACTGACCTCCTGCTGTATCTGCTGCTTGAGCTCCAATTCCTTCGTCTCCGGCTCTTCCTGAACTGCGTGCCCGTTGGAGAGTCCTCGAGGTTTACCCTTTTGAGCAGCGGCTGCTCCCGTCGGAGGGTATGAGGTAACGTAAATGGGACTGTTCTCGATGAACCCGTTGAGGTCGCTCTCCGTACGCGGATTTTCCTGGTTCAGCTGCAACAATAATTTATTTCAAAAAATATTACAAGAAATTAATAATAAAATATTAATAGTAAAAAGAAATGACCTTGCAACACTGAGAGGATTGCAAGTGAAGATGGAAACACCAACTTTTTTTAAAAATATGACCTTACATTATTTAACGAAAAATAACCAATCAGGTTTGTCCAAAAACAAAAATAACAACAGAATGAATCTTTTCTGCATAGAAGCATGGTAGCAAGAACATGGCATAGAAGCCATGTTTGGGGCGAAAAATTGTATAGCTTAACTATGATGAAAAAGTATCAAAATCAGTGTTGGTGCCAAAATATTGAAAAAGAAAACGGAATGAACCCTTTTCGTATAGAAGCCATGATTGAGACAAAAAAATGATTGCTTTAGCTAGATGAAAAAGTAACGAAATCAGAGTGAGTACCAAAACAGCGTTAAGTACCAAAATCCAAATTATTTAAAACGAAAACGGAATGAAATATTGCGCGGTCATTACCGCGTATGGGGAGCGTCCCACGGGTGGCGGATGTGGGGATGGTCGGTGGAAATTCCTTGGAAGTTCCTCCCGGCTAAGTCCGATGGACTCGCTGACCAACAATGAGAGGGGCCCTCCAGACTTGCTGGAGGGAGGGGACCTCCAGACTTGCTGGAGGTAGGGGCCCACCAGACTTGCTGGAGGGTGTGACGTAGGATTGAACGCCCTACTCACATATCTTTAGTTCACCAAACACCACAAAAAGTCATGGATCTCCCTAAGGTAAAACGCTCATTATCCGGAGGTAAACTAGTCCCCCGTTCGGGTCTCCGGGTGGGGACTGCTTTAGGGGATTCATGGTGCAAGTTGAAATATAGGGATTTAAATATTGGTACGTGGAACGTAAGGAGTTTAAACACAGCAGGGGGGCTAAAATCGGTCGCGAATGAGGTAAATGGGTACAATTTGGATGTCGTGGCTCTGCAAGAGGTTCGCTGGCCAGGGGAGGGCTCGATGAGGGAAGGAAAGTACACTATTTGGTACGGAGGAAGCGGGAATCATTGTTTAGGTACCGGGTTTCTAATTAGGAGTAGATTACTATCCGCTTTGAGGGACGTACAATTCTTTAGTGATAGAATTTCGGTAGCTACATTTCAGGGACGTTGGTTTAAAATCGCATTAATAAACATACATTGTCCGACCGAAGACAGTGACGATGAAGTCAAAAGTGAATTTTACGATAAACTCGAATGGGTTTATGATAAACTACCGCGAAACTACATGAAAATAATTGTAGGTGACGCAAACGCAAAGGTAGGAAGGGAAGAAGTTTATATTCCGACGATTGGTAAAGAAAGTTTGCACGAATATAGTAATGATAATGGGATCCGTCTGATAAACTTTGCCATCTCGAAAAACCTGATAATTAAAAGTACGACGTTTAAACATAAGGATATTCATAAATATACTTGGACATCACCGGATTCGCAAACACGAAATCAAATCGATCATGTCTTGATACAACACAGCTGGCAAAGCAGTATAATTAATGTACGGTCTTATCGCGGAGCAGAATGTGGGTCGGATCATGAATTAGTAATCGCGAAACTTCGACAAAAACTTAATATAAAAAAGAGAAAAGAAAACCGTTTCGATTTTGAGAATTTTAATTTGGAAAAATTAAAAAATCCATCAATTAGAAACCAATTCGAGCTAGATGTTAAGAATAGGTTTGAAGCTTTAGAGCTTCCTGACGAGGACCACGAGGATATTGACAAGTTATGGGTAGAGATCAGGGATAATATTAAAGCGGTCGGTAACTCGTGTCTAGGAAAAAAGGAAAATAAGAATAACAAACCGTGGTTTGATGAAGATTGCTTAAACATGTGTGAAAAAAGAAAAGCCGCTAAATTAAAAGCTCTAAATAATCCTAGCGAAGACAATCTGGAATACTTCCGAATCTCAAAGAACGAAACGACAAAATTGCTCAAAAATAAAAAAAGGGAGTATCTTAAAAATAAAATAATTGAAATAGAAACTAATAGAATCGAAAATAACGTAAGAGACATGTACAAAGGTATAAACAGATCACGTAAATATGTAGGGCCCGTAACGTCTGGAATTAGGGATGATAATAACAATATTCTGACCGATCCGGTTGACATATTGAATAAGTTTAAGGACCACTTTGACAATATTTTAAATACGGGAAATTATGATCTGTGTCCTCCTTCTGAGTACCAGAGTGCTGAACCGTTAATAGAAGGACCAAGTAAAGAGGAAGTTGAAGTAGCTATCGGAAAATTAAAATCATATAAAGCAGCGGGAATCGATAATATTCCTACTGAACTAATTAAGGCATGCGGGAAGCTGGAGTTTCTAAAATACATCGGTTGGTTAAAAAGATCTGGGTGAACGAGAAATTACCTGAAGAATGGAAAGAATCTATTCTTATTCCGATTCACAAAAAGGGTCCGAGGACGGATTGTAATAACTATCGAGGAATTTCACTCCTTCCGGTATGTTATAAAATATTCACTTTAATCTTAACCAGTCGAATCACGGAATACGCCGAGGAAATTATCGGAGACTACCAATGCGGATTTAGACGGAATCGTTCGACTATTGATCAAATATTTTCTTTACGGCAAATATTAGAGAAAAAATTGGAGTATAACGGTATTGTTCACCAGCTGTATATAGATTTTAAAAAGGCTTACGATTCTATTGACCGCCAGAAACTGTATAATATTCTAATCGAGCAGGGGATTCCAAAAAAACTAGTAAATCTAGTCAGGATGTGCTTGACGGAGACACTCAATAAAGTTAGAATCGGTAATAATTTGTCCGAAAAATTTGAGGTTCGTTCGGGCTTAAAACAGGGGGATTCTCTTTCGCCTGTCCTGTTCAATTTGGCATTAGAACATGCCATTAGGGAGGTAATGCGAACCGAGAAAGGGTTGGATCTGGGCGGGACAACATCCGTGCTGGGCTATGCTGATGATCTGGTACTGTTAAGCGAAGACGTTGAAACTATAAAACTAAATACGACAACGTTAATGAAAGCCGGTAAAGAACTAGGACTCGAAATAAACGTGGATAAAACAAAATATATGGTTAGCTGCAAAAATGGCGATACTACTGGTGATATCGATATAGATGGTAATATGTTTGAACAGGTAGATAAATTTAGGTATCTAGGTTCTACGATAACTAGAAAAAACGAAATTGAAGAAGAGATTAAGGTTAGACTGAAGGCGGGAAATGCTTGTTATTTTTCTGTGACAAAACTACTTAGTTCGCGCCTCTTGTCCCGAAACTTAAAAATTAGAATCTATAAAACAATTATCTTGCCTACAGTTCTTTATGGATGCGAAACTTGGCCGCTTACATTAAGGGATGAGCAGCGTCTTAAGGTTTTTGAAAATAAAGTATTGCGTAGAATATTCGGACCGAAGAAGGATGAGTTAACCGGAGAGTTCAGACGGTTACACAACGCCGAATTGCGTGAGCTGTATCCGGGTAATATAATTGAGGTAATTTCATCGCGGCGAATCAAATGGGCTTGTAAAGTTGTTGGGCTTAGTAACGAGAGAATTCCTAAAAGGTTAATATTTGCTGTGCCGAATGGTAAGCCTCCGAGGGGTAGACCGAAGCGAAGGTGGGAAGATTGCATTAAAGCCGATCTGAAGGGACTGGGTTTGGACGGCGAACGGTGGAGGGAGGTGTGTAACAAGCGATTGGTGGTGTCAGCATCGAACCTTCGGGTTCGCTAAGCCTTATTATTATTATTATTATTATTATGGAAACGGAATAAAATCTTTTGGCGTAGAAGTAGAGGTCATGTTTTTGGGGAAAAAATGTGTACCTTTAAGTAAATCAAAAAGTCAAATATAAAATTGTAGATAATGAATGCCAAAAATTATTTTAAAATTAAGAAGAAGTAGTAATTGGGAACTTATGAAAATAGATCAGTAGGGAATGCATGATAATGCCGCAATGCTCTTTTCCATGCCTTCTTCTCTATTTTGTCTGTATTGATACATTTGCTCTTTTATCTTTTTTACATTATTTAAATTTTTTATTCTCTTATACATAGGCAGCTTGTTTTGATAGATTTTACAATACCTCAATTTTCTATTTATGTTTATTATTTCCTCATATAACTTCATATTCCTTTTCTCTGTTTTACATTTTATTCTATTATCTCACTTCCTTTTAGCATACTATTACATCTATTTTAGCAACTTGTCACCCCATTTATTTATTTTTTTAAAACTATACTTACGTTTATCATCTTATTCATTCCACTACTTTTCGTTCGTAATTCATTTTTCATTTCTTATGTTATCCTATTTTAATTATATTTATTTCATTAGTTCCTACTTTGTAGCCGTTATCATTTATTTCTTAGTTCCCTGTAATTTTATTTTACTTTAAGTTTATTCTACATTTTTTAGTCTATACCTTTCTCCTTTTTAATTTTAATTCTTTATTATTCAAAGTTTGTAGTTTCTCATACCTGTTGTTATCTGGGTTTTTTTCTTAGCCCAAATAAGGGCCTGAACTTTGGGCCGAAACGTCGGCAAATATAATTATTTATTTTATTATAATTTTTTTTTTTTTTACTGATCACCCCAAAAATTCTTCTTTTCGATTATTCACTACAGTCAACCATCAATCCACAATTAAAGATGGTATCATTTGAAGGCCATCATATAACATTAACGAATCTATCACTATTACCTATTAGAATGCCTTACATATTTTACAATCAATGAATTCAAGAAAAGATAACACTGACATTCATTTATATCACTATTCTAGACCTTAAAAAGACTTTTGATTTTTCAGTAAATGTCTTCTTGCGACAGTAGACTAATTTATATAAATAGACTAATAAGTGTTATAATTTTACAATATTTTGATTCCATTCATTGTATCGAATCATGTCTAATTTGGGAGAACCTGTCCTAACTTCTTGATTATTGGATGAAACAGGAACATGGGTGGCCATCTCTGTTACGGTCAGTATTTCTCCACATCTGGAACCGCTTTGTCTTGTCCGGTTCCTCACATGTGCGACATGTCCTAGTTCGTTAAAATCCTTTCAGGTTCCACACGTTGATCGATGTCACTTTATTTTTTGTTGGCTATTCCTTTTGAGGTAGGTCATCCTTTTTGTATCGTTTCTCTTCCATTAGAGGGCGATGGTCGAAAACCATTGGTTTTCGAAAACTAACCATTGGTTAGTTCATCACCATTTAAAGGAATGTTTCGTAATAATTATTAATTACAATATTAAATTTGATACTCCTTTGTATTGTAATTGATAAATACAACTACCCTACATGCAATACAGAAATACAGATCCACTATCGTGCTCCCAGGAGCAATGGATTTTAATAAATGAGGTATCAAATGAAAGGAATTTTAATGGAAAAGTGGCGAATGCCAATTTCGAACCTTACAATTTTACAACTTTAATTACTGTAATCTTCTAATTATTGTTTTCAATTAATAATCAAAAAAAAATAATCAACTTTGGCAAAAGTATCATTCTTGAATTCAGGCTCGATTTTTCAGGATTGAATTTAAGGATTTATTGTAAATGAATTGATAAGGGCAGACTTTCCGTTCTGGTTGTGGGGGGAGGGGATGAATCCTCCCAAAAAATTCTTAGGAGTTTATATTATGTATAAAAATTAACATAATCAACATGATCATGGTAAAACGAACAATATAATACATAAATAAATTTATATTTGTGGGTAAAATGGTTGACTGTCGTGAATAATGAAGAGAAGAATAGTTGGGGTGATCAGTCAAATAAGAAGGCAAAAATAAATGATACTATTTATTTTGACATTTGCCAACGTTTCGACTTGAAGTTCAGGCCTTCATCAGGGCTAAGAAAAGAACCAGATAACAAGGTATGAGCAACATAAGTAGTGTAGGTAAAAAAAATTAAAGTAAAATGAAGTTGTTAGAATAATAAACTAACTAACTTCATATTCCTTTTTTCTGTTTTACATTTTATTCTAAGATTCCCATTTTAATACTTATGTCACCTTTTTTGATCATATTTACTTCATCATTCCACAATTTGTATCGGTTATTATAATTTATCTCTTAGTTCTTACTATTATCATTATTCTAACAACTTCATTTTACTTTAATTTTTTTTACCTACACTACTTATGTTTCTCATACATTGTTATTTGGTTCTTTTCTTAGCCTGAACCAGGTCGAAACGTCGGCAAATGTCAAAATAAATATTATCATTTCTTTTTGTCTTCTTATTTGACTGATCACCCCAACTATTCTTCTCTTCATAAATAAATGTATATACCTATAGTTTTTTTATTTAATTTTTTTTGGTATGGATATATCTGAAAATATGTTAACAAAGCAATAGAATATATTGCATATTTTTATTTTGAGGCAGTGAAACTTTCAATTCTCAGATGATTCAAATTTGCCGCGAGAGATGTGATAAAAACTTAACGTAAAAGTGGAAGGATTCATTCACTCATAAATGAATCATAAAATAATATGATATGTTCATATATTTAATTATTATTGAATATAAACTATAATTTCATTAATAGGAACATAGGGAACATAGTAAAATACTTGAGTACGTACTTCCAGGCCTTAGCTTAGCCATATAATCGACTTTTCCTATTTTATTAATTGATTTTAGTGTAAATATTTCAATCATACATGGACATTAATTGTTATTAATTTTGATTTCATTTTTGTTCTTGGGAATATTGGGGAGGGGCGAAACAATATTCTCGCCCCAATTTATTTTCACTGGGGTGATCACCTCCCTCATTAGTCCTCTCCCAAGTAAGCGCCTTTGCACGAAGTCATTGTGTAATTTTATGGAATTAATTGTTTATTATTATTATTATTATTTATTATTGAATTTAAAAAGTCTCGTACATGAGGACTTAACATGATTATAAGAGTGGACTTAAAGAGACAAAGGAGTGGAATGCAGGGAGAGTGGACAGTGAGCCTGTTGGACCAAAGACAAGTTGGATCCTTGCCCGATCACTGCGTTATCTCCGCTCAGGGAATAGCGAATTTATTCTGCCATTACTGATGAATGTATCTTGTTATCTCATCTCAGTATATTAATATAATCTATGATATTATATGGTCACTTAGAAGGGTGGGTAGGGTGCTTACTTCCAATACTGAAGGTCCCAAATTCGTGTCCGGCTGATGATAGATAAATTATTTATTCTGTTTCGTTGGCCGTGGATGAACCCTGGAGTCCAGAAACCCTCCAGGGGCACACCCAGCCTCTATAAAACCAAAGCGGGTGCCCTTAATTAAATAATTAATGAAGGGAGAAACAGGCGCTTCAGCGTAATCTCGATCAAATCATTTCCTTGCACGACCGCTTTCCAAGAAACAGCACGTCCTTACAAACTACTGAATCCGAAACCCTAAATGGATTGTAGAGTTTTGTTATTATGTTCACTTATAGGAATTATTGAAAATTAAACTTCTTTGCATATTCCTAAAAATGATGGACAGTTTTTTTCTAACCCCAGTCGTCAAAATATAATTTTATTCTATTGAGAGCTTCTGTAGCGTGCCAGGTGGCAAAGCAATATTGAGAATTGTTTAATTGTATCTGGAGATTAATAATAACATTCTTTGTTTGTTTGTTTCGATGTCTAGGCGCAAAACATCCAGGTCGATCAACTAAATAACACTACTTTTATACTGCCTGGCAGCATTTTGTTTGTTAGCAGCAAAAAAAAATAATAAATAATCAATGAACTTTTAAAATTAAAAAAAAAAAAAAAATCTGCAAAGGAGCATTAGTAACATGTTATATATATTTTATATTTTTTTCCATTGTCTAGGAACTTAACAACTTTTATAATGATTTCTTCTTGATTTCCCAGGGATGCTGATGCATTCTGAGGTATTCCGAGATCTTTCAACCTTGCGGTGTAAAAAGGACACTCTTCCAAAATATGTTTTATGGTTAATAAAATGTCAAAATAATTACACTGGTCACACTTTTGAAATCTGGTGATAAGATTTTTTGTTATGAGGTGGAGGTGAGTCAGTCTAGTACGTCCGATGCTCCGCCGCGTGGAGACGACCTCTTCACTACGACTGCTACGACTGGAGCTGGTCCACGGTTGCACCTCTTTCTTTATTTTGCTAGGTGCGCTGTTGTCCCACCGCCTTTGCCATTCTTGGGATAGAGTTCGTGAAAGTTCAGATGGTGTCAAAAATCTTTACCGCGGCCTGGAAAAGTAATAGCTTCTTTTGCAACTCTATCAGCCATTTCGTTTCCTTTAATGCCTATATAAGAATTAACGTTTATGTAATAAAATAAAAATAAAAGAAGGGTTTTCTGATTAGAAATTATCGGTTCTGAGTTCAAACATTTTTTTAACCTCACACACGAATACAAAAGCTTCCTTAATTTAGGTAATTGGCTAAAGCGCCCTCACTCAATCTCCACTGGCTTAAGCACTAGTGACGCGGTTGAGAGAGTTGTGTAGGTGTTTGTAACAACACAACAATAATAGCATTCTGCTTCCTGGCTAACCAAAGGTTTTTGTTTATTATATTTTATTGAGTAACATAACATTACGTTGAAACTATATCAACGGAGCATAGAAAATAAACATAAGTAAAATAACAACTAAATTATAATCTAAAAGTATATAAAATAACTTAAAGATAAATAAAAAAAATACGGAGGGAACTCCAAATTATCCCTCTAACTATAGAGACCCCTACACAATTCCCTCAACAGCGTCGCTGGTGCTTAAGCCAATGGAGATAGAGTGGGGGCGCTACAGCCGACTACCTAAAAAAAATTTTTGAACTCAGAATTGATAATTTCTATTCAGAAAACCCCAAAAGCGATGTGTAAAAACTATAGCATATATTATCTTTATTGCATAAACGTTAATTCTTTACGTTCATATTTTTTAATAGAACACACACTTGAAGATGAGCAAGGTGAACGTCCTCAAATGTATTGATTGAGTAGAAATAAATGAAAGTAGTTTTAAAAGGATTAAACTATTTTTTAGCAATTAGTATGAAATAGAATTTATAATATACATATATTCAGTTCAGTTCCATTTTTGATCGCTTGTTAAAGTACAATAGAACGCATTAGGTGACTGATTAATCTTTGACAGATCATTCAATTACGCAGGGAAGTTAACTATTAATTATAATCACCGCAAAAGATATGTAGGGCAGAGGGGACACGAGATGGAGCACATACAGGACATAGAGGGGACATGGACAAAGGGGGCGGGTGACACCGGCGGGTGACAGGACTCGAGCTGCAGTATACAATGGCACTCGAGTGCAGGCGACCACTCACATCATATCCTAGTGTCCTACGCCCCGCTTGCCCAATTAACCATTCACATCAGGCCATCATTTAGTGCTTGCATCTGCCTCCGATCCTACACGGTCTAACTGATGTCAAAAATATGCAGGTTTAACATGTTCCACGTTGCGTAGGGGATTAACGAGAACTTAAGAGCTTGGTCGGAAACGAAATTAAATATTATATAAAACACTAGATTTGATTATTTTCAATGATTATCAAGGATAGTTGGTATATAAAATGTTAAGTAATTGATTAAAAAAAAATATTTCACCTATTCTAAAAAGTCAATAAATGACATTTCACAACCTTAAATCACCTAGGACTAACATAAAACGAATTTTCCCTTTAAGAAATAAAAGTACTATACACTTGTTGTAGCTATTTCACGAAATTCACAAACACTTTCTTAAGTTCAGTTATGTTTTTCAACTAATAATAATTAAAGGTACTTTATTGAAAGATAATATTGAAAATTAGCCATTTAAGCAGTGTAAGAGAATATCAATGAGAATAAAACCTACATTATGTAAAAAGCTTAATTTTACACTGACGTAATGAATTAATCAAAATTGTTAGAACCGTTTTCGAGAAAATCGTAAAAATGTGTTAAATCGATTATATAAAGTGCCAATATCGGTAACCCAATTGGAAGAAAAAGTTCCTATAACGTCTCAGGCATATATAAACCTTAAATATGGATTTCACTTTCGTACGACTTTTCATTTTTGAGCTAGACTATTAACACACACACCATTTTGTGATACTTGGTTATTTGGAATCAAGGTAACTCAAAACATGTATTTCCGTTGAAAACTGAGATTCGAAAATCTTCACGATCGCAATACTTTCCTATACTATATTTAAAAAAAAAACGATTATAATTTTTTTTTAATTTTGTTTTTATGTAAAAAACGCACACATATAAATTTATATATATAATTTTTTTTTCAGTGGTTCATGTTTATTTCTGTGAATGACCTGAGAACTTATACAATCACAATATGTATTATTGTACCTGTAATTAATGTTTTTATTTATTATTTTAATTAGGCCTTCACCGACAACATAAACATCATTTTATAAAGGTTCTTTCTTCTTCTTCCAGAGTAATTACAATTATAAAACAAAAATAACCGCATCTAATAAAAAAATAAATAAATAAAAAAATCTTGAGTGCACTATTGCTGTCAATCATCAAGCTAAATCTGATGTTCCTATAGTGCTACCAAGACAATGAATGTTATACTGTCACAGAGTTTACACTATAAAAATTGTTTGAATTAAGCATATCCATTAAAGCTGATGAACATCTTGTGCGAGCTAGCAATTTTTCCCTTAAATGTATATACACATTGCATTAATTAAGAAACAATCATATTGCATCTTTCAAATCCAGTCCATAAGTTCAGCTGTGGACCCCAGCATCAATCATCAAAATTTAATCATTGAGAGAGTAGAGATTAGCAGTGCTACAATGCAGTACTCTGTGATGGACCGGAGGACAATAAAAGAGCGAGGAGGTTCTAAACAATAGGAGGGAAGAAGTAATGCCTCGCAGCTTTGGACCTTCTTTTTTGCCCACTCAAGGCTGCAGCATCTTACAAGAGGACAGTTGACACTTCTCGCACCCTCGTCAGGAGCAGCTGTGGGAGTGGACTCTTATTGGATCCCCGATACCAACCTCTCCATCTTTTTATTTATTCCATATAGTAATAATAAATAAACATTAGCAACCATACCTCTATGATGGGGATCTAATCTTAAAAACCGATGAGGCTTGAGCATCACATTACATTCACTTACCATCATACTTGAAATATTAGATTTCTGCTCAAACTGAGATCGTTGTTCGGTACTGAGCTGAAGAGAACAAATCCGTATTACACATGTTTTGGGTGAACTCAAGAGAAGTTAAATGTCCTTACAAATCTGCAATAAGTATACTTCATTTGTTGTCACTAACCTAATTTTATCCAACCCGAAATATTGAAATGCTGCAAGTGTACCACACCTTGGTTTGGTTTCCAGAAAAACATCAACATCTTTCACTCCGAGACATTAAGGTTATTCATCCAGTTGTAAACGCTTAATGTGCAATCATGCCAATCAGTCAGCACAAATTTTGAATAAGTGGTACATGGTAGCCTGCCTGTGCTAACGTGTTATCAGTTATAGTAAGGTTATGCCTGTGCTGTAATCAAAGTTCGTAGAACCAACATTGATCTAATTTTTAAATGACAAAGCGAAGTGATAAAACTGAGCTGCTGGGTTATTGGGTTATAAGCATGAATGAAGATTCAGGAGGCAAAGAACTTGACGAATACACAGATGAAATCCTAGAATCAAAGAATTAAACACATCAAAACCATACAATAATCTTCTTCATGAGTTTACGAAGTCAGCAACACTTTACAGTTCCCTAGGTTGCCTCATTCACCTTTTTCTCTTTACTTTCTTTTCCATATCCCTGCCTCTATTTTTTTAATATTGGTACATTTACTCATTACATCTTATTTTCATAATTTAAATAATTTTAACCTTTCATTTATTTTCATATTCCTTTTCTTTGTTTTACATTTTATTCTTTGTATATCTCACTCGCATTCTAAGACATCATATTTCAACAACTACGTCACCCCATTCATATTATGTCTAATACTAACAATTTTTTTCTTCTTCTTTAATTCTTTTATCACATAACATTCCGTTAC